CCGCCCCACCCTTATAAACTACTATTCCATAGATAGACGCTTCGTGCGATTTAATCGTTGCAGAATTATTTGAACGATTGTCAATATCACTGATATTATTAATTGGCTCTTTGAGGAGGATGACGTTTAATTGTTTTAATTAAAAAAAAATCTAGACCTGACAATCGCGAAATAAACTCTTTCGCCGTTTCTGATCCTATAGGCACTTCCGGTTTATGCGATAAGTGCGATCGTGAACTTTGAGTAAAATTCAAGTCGGGCTTTCCTATTGTAATACAAAGTTCGATAAGTTATCCCGAAAGTCCAGGTTCACTTTATCGACGTGCCTTTGTCACTTTTTCATTTTATCGTCCTATCGGTGATTCTAATTAGAGTGAAACGTGCTGACTTACCTGGTCGCTTTCGAAGGTCGAACAGGCACTGGTTCCGTCCTCGATGAGATCCCGGTTGACCTTGGCTCGAATCTGAAAGGATAGATAAATGATAGTGTCAGTATAGTGATAAGTGCAAAATTTTTTAATTCTCACTGCTCCGTCATGATTTATTACATAGGCTTATTATCATATGTTAAATACGGTAGTACTACTGGTACCCTGTGTTACGTAATACGTGTACTTGGCAGTAGCGGGCAAATTTTTCATTTCACGGTTCGAGATTATCAAACAGGTAAATACTTGGGTAGTAGGTAGCCTATGCTGGACGGGGTACGAGGCGAGAGCAAGATTACGAAACGCTCGAAAGCGCGGCTTCCTTTTTTATTTCCCCACGGCAACGTTGCTGAAAGGAGAAAACTAGTTTCTAGCCGGTGGATCGATCGATAAAGATCAATTATTCGAGATCCAGTACTGCACCGTGAACGGATCTAGAGTGCCAATCTTGATCGGTTGCGTTCCGAATGAACGATCACAATTTACTGTTTTATAAAAATTTCTTTTTATTCGAGGATCCTACTATACACTTTGTGTATCGACTTTTATTACGGAACCAATTTCCTTATGGGGACCAATTCCATCGATATTTACCGTTACGTGAGATGGCATTCGATTAACATTTTATCTATTTCTTTTTCTCTGTTCTCAATAAAAAGACTCTTAGTTCGAGTTACAAAAAAAAATGTTTTAATGTTGGAAATTCCCCGAGCCTCGATCAACCGACTTCAGATCTGCCTTAATGTAATTCAAACGAATTCGGAGCGTGCGTAGGTCGAGTATCAGGGTGCAAGGTTACTAGCTAGTAGACAACCTTTGTCCCTAAACTAGCAGATCTACGTAACTGACGTCTGCTTGATTATTATAATTAATTATAATTATTGCTGGTATTATTCTCATGGTTATTCTTATCATTGCCGTTAACATTGTCTGCGATTAGAGTCATTCGACAAGTGGCGGTTATGCAGTTGTTTCTCACATGTTCTTCGTTGCGTTCACGAGATGACACTGGCATCGATAACCATTCTAGTGTTAATTTCGATTCTCAATATGGGTAATGACAGACAGTGTAACGATACTGGCTTCGGGGGTAATGACGATCTCTATATACCGATACCCTTCGATATTATTATTATCATCAATAATTATAATAATTATCTAACGGTGCAACGCATATTCTCATTAGGGAGTGCATCGAGGAAGTCGCAGTAAAACTTGGCCTCGAGTTTTCGTCGTCGCGCAGTTGGATGTCTTAATAAAATTGGTTCCTTGGCATCGGTAGACCAGTTGGCAGTGTCCACACGGTTCCCATTTGGATTGAATGCCGCTCTAATATTCCTTACTTGAATTAAACCAGGGTTCCTATGATATTTAGAATTCGCCATAAATGTCTTTATAAATTGCAATATAGCTTGGCAGCCAGGTATGCGTACTACGAACCTTCTTTTTACGTGGATGATGTTCCTCGAGGTAGTCAGGCACGATACCCTCGTCCAGGGTGGTCGTAGATCCTGGTGTACTACCGGACGAAGAACCCGAGGCGTTATGTTGGTACTGATGATGATGACGGTGATGATGATGGACAGTAGCCTGAAGCCCCGTGGCAGCGTTTGAAGGGTGCACGGAATGGCCGGTGCTCGATGACGGCCATAAGGAATCGGTCGTTGGAGCACCTTCGTCGCTCAACGGCGGACTTGGTGTACCACTTCTCCAGGAAGCACCGCTGCTGCTGCTGCTGTTCGATGTTCCTCCTGCACCTGGTGAACCGACTACGACGCCACCTCGTCCTCCCCAGGAGCCTTCGAGATTTTTTAAATAAAAAAAATAATCAATTAATTGTTGCAATCGTTACATGGGTTTTGCTTAATTTCATTTGCCAAGACAATTTTTTAATTTTTATTACGTCGTAAAGCTCTAGTTGCAATATGATAGTCGTTGAGATCTTAAGAGGGTAACTAAAATTTAGTCATTAATTGATTTATCAGATTGATATAAGAAATTCAATAAATTTATTCGACGCTTGGAGATCTTTTGATTTTTTTTCTTCAATTATTTATGCGGTACCGTTGTGGATATATTTTTTTATGAAATTCAATAATTCATTTTTTATTGCTTTTACGAGATTTTATTAAACTCTCTGTAGCTTTCTATAGTGCGCTACTGCGGTTCGAGGAAATACGTGCTTCTGCATAGTCGCTGGACAGGAATATAATCTTGTAGATAACGTCTCTTGTCACTGTTCCCAAAACAGAAAAATTATCACGGCGTTCCTAAAGGTCGATCCACAATGAACTGTCGTTAGGATGGACTTTGTCCTAGTAAATTTATCCGGGTCAAAGTCTAGCTTGACCAGTAACTTAATAGGCACTAATATACCATTAGCCAAACAGTACTCATACACCTTTTTAAAGGACATTTTGAAATACACATAACAATCACATATACATATGACGGGGGGACAATTGCATTATTTTTAATCGGCACGAAGTAATCGATTGGCTCGAAATCAATCAGTAGCGCAAATGATCCTTGACCTTTGATTTGCAATTCGTGAAAGGTTTCCGGTGCCAAAAGAATCTGAAGGAATTCGTTGGCTAAGCAGATACCTTTCATCCCTTTGGGCGATTCTCACGAAGTAATAAGCTTCCTGTTGATACTCGGAATTTTTATTAAACATTTTACTGTACGAGGATCCTTTAGTTTTCCCTTGTATTAAATTTGTTTATAAAATTTCTAAGACGATTAACGACTACAATAACTATGTGACATACGCAACGAGTTCCGTACTCCGCGTGAACGAGGTACGTAAAATAGTATAAATAATTTTCACAGTCCGTCGCAATCTTCAGAAGTCACTTCGCAGAATCCCAAAACGGTCCCTTTATCTATCCACTATCCACCTTTATTTGTCGCAAGTAGGTTGGCGCCATAATTTCCACAGTACCAGCTCTATCATTTTCCTGGTTCTTCACGCGATCTAGTAATAAATTCGAAAATAATCTCTACTCGAATATAGAGTCTCGCCTGAATTGGCATCAGGTTCTAAAATTCCAACTCTTTTTGTACATTGTAATTTTCAGCCGTTTCTTTGGCTGCTTCCGAGTTATCGCCGGTAAGGCCTGAATCGTAATAAGGTATCCTGCAAGGCAGCTCTCAGGCTTGACAGTGCTTTTCTAACCTAGAAAAGAAAGTGTCCGTACCATGCAACCGTAAACTAACCATAGTTTTGCTGGCAGTGAAGTGGCAGAGGGTTGTGAGGACTGTGAGGTGAACACGATAGTGACATGAGAACAAGGGCTGCCGTACACTCGTCCATGCAATCACCGCGTTCATTGGTGCGACAACCCTCGCGACCACAGCCATGAGGATTCCATCCGATGTTTGTAACACCGTGAGGTCCACTACTTCCGGGAACGACCCCTCCGATATTCCCAGAGCCTAGACCCATGCTGATGCCACCTCCGCTACCACCGTACGAACGCTCCGAGTCATTGCTGGAACTGGGACGTCGTTTTCGGGATCTAAAGCATTGTAAGACGAAATTATTAGTCAATATTTATGTGCAAAGAAAATTGGATCGCAATGGAAAATAAATTTCATTAAGTTTCGACACGGGGCATTCTATAGTCCTTTTTGGAGTATAAGCTTCTATAGTGAAGCGTAGCACAGTTCTCACGTTTGTCTGAGATACTAAAAATTCATAAGAATTCGTTCGGTGAGAGTAAAGGGAATTTAAGCGAGGTCAACCAGCCTAAGCACTAGAACGTGTAGGTACATGTCGCAACGTAATGACGATCGGCAAGGTGCAGCTAATCTGTCATGAGATAAGACCGGTGCAGCCCTCAACCGCAAACAGCATACAGCCTTAATGCTCGGTCCACTGGTCATTCGGGTCCCGTTTGCGCCAGAACGTTCTAGACCCACATAGAGATGATCATCGGATCGCTTTGGAATCGATTATAACTGCACAGTGCTGCCCTTCTAACCTTTCGTTTCGAAACGCCACGAGCGCCACTAGCGGCAGTCACGGTTACTTCGCAGCTAGCAGTATCGAGGCAATGTTTTCTCTATCCTCAGGTTTAACGATTTGTTCACTCTGATTTCTTGGACGATCTCTCACCCTGGATAAGAATGCAGGTCGCGAGTTTGCTCCATTTTATCACCCTGTGCCGCGGCGACGGCTGCTTGTAACGGGGTTGCTACTCGTGCTGCGCATGCGTAAACGTATATCAAATAGGTTAAGTCTCCTCTTGCCCCGCAACTTCCCTCGCGTTCTCTCTCGCGCTTGCTGACACACTTACGCGTCCTTTGTTATGCTTCGTCGCAACCGCAACCGTAGACCGGTACGCCTTCTCCATGGTGTTTTACTCCGTACACCAAGTATTTTCCTTTCGTCGTTACGTGTCTTGCTAATAATCCTCCCTTTAACTCCTCCGCGTCGTTTCTTGACATACCTTTTCGCACTTTGCCCATGTCTAAGGTCTTTGCGATTTCCATAACGTGACAATTGGCTCGAGTAAGTATGTTATTTATGCTAATATATTTATTTTGCAAATTATTTTGAAATTGGAACAATTTTAGGAAAATTTTTTTCAGCAAGACTTAAAAAATATAATTTTTTTACAATCGTGCTCGTAGAGTTTTTTTTACTTTTCATGCGAATTTTTTTTACGTTCTCACAACACATGCCATTCTCTACAACAGGCATGTAAGATTAAACAGGTTCTTTCTAAAAATATATTTCTTTGATTTCTGGAAATTAACAAGTGATCAGCGGTGTTTTAATTCTTTATTTTTTTTTTGAATACTCGTTTTACGCATCGGTAGTTTCTGCCTTCGTTAAGGCACGAACTTTCAGCCAAAAATATCCTTCCCCCTCCGCTTCGCTTCCCACCACGGAAATCAACACGCGCGAATTAATTTACCCGAGAAGTCACGTTTGCGCAAACTAAAAAGCCACGTGGCAAAAATACTAATAAATAAATAACGACCGTGCTGCGTTTACTTTCGTGGCTTCAAAGAGAGACGGGAAAAAAAACCCAAAAATCTCCAAACATATAAAAACACGACAATATTGACGTTTCAATTCATCTGATTTGCGTAAGTCCTTCCAGCTCGCATATTAGACAGTTCTAAACCACCTTAGGTACCAAGTGCACTCAACTAACAATAAGAGCCAAACGTGCCGCATGTGTAAATTCGGGCGGCCGTTCCGAATCGAAAAGGTTCCGAGTCATTAGATTCGAGACTTTCTTGAAACGGATAATTCCCCCGATCATTGGCCCACGAATTAGCCGTGGGACTTTCGCCAGCTAGAGACGACTTTCCGATTTCTTAAAACGACATTAAAACAACTCCACATTATCACGCAACACAATGCGGAAGTGCGCAAACGATATGACTTTTGTATTCAATGTTGATATTAATGATTCATGCTAATAACGATCAGTATTAATGTTATCTAATGAAATTATTACAAAAAATTTTTAAATATTCATAGATTCACGTATCATTAATTTACATTACGTATACCTTACTATACGATAAATTAACATTATCCTCCCAAAGTCAAGGATATGAATATCATCAGCACACAAAGACCTTTCAAGCTGAACGTTCAATGAGCAAGAAAAGAAATGATCGGCATTCGTAAGGCGTATACGCGGAATGTACATTCCAGGCTGTTTCGAGGATACTTTAAGGAAGTCAAGGCCGCGTCGGTACAAGAGCAAAGTGAAACGTTAGCGACGGGGATGACGCGCGAAAGTAACGCCGACCCGTTCGAAAGTGACTGCCGTTTCGAAAGTGACATGCCTCTCCGTTTTTCCCCATATTTTTTCCATCTCTCCTCCTCGCTCCTCCATATCGGGAGGCGCAATTTAACGCCAGGCTCGCGCATCCTCGAGAAGATAACACGAAACGAGATAGTCGCAAGAGCGATAACGCCGATAGTAAAAAAATTGTCGAAAAATCTCAAAGTATCCAAAAAATAGATATTTTGAATTTTTTAAAAATATTTCTCCTTCCAGCCATCCACCTATCCGACAAAACAAGGCCCGAAGGAGCTCCCTATTGAAAAACTCCAAGTTCGCGTTTCGTCCAGTGTCTATCCGGTCCACGGGTACAGATGACCCGATAGTAACTGGGTCACAGTTTCTCAAACTGGGTCACTATCTGGCTCCGAGTATCTAGAAAATGGCTGTCCGTTTCACAGAAATCTTTTCTCACGTGTCCAGTGCAATGATACAAGCGGCGCAGCCTCGGTTAATATCCAATGACAGCGATCGCCTTGTCCTCGGACAACAGTGACCAAAAATGGACAGTGTGATTTGACCTTTCGTAAAAGAACTTTGAACGTGCAGTATAATTTTTAGAGCTCGAAATTTTGTATTTAAAAAAAAATTTTTTTTTTTTATGAGGCCCAATAAAGATTAACTTTTTCTTCCCTCTATACCCGGCACAGTTCAACAACACGATGTCGAGTTAATAATTGGCTGCACTGTGATGCAAAGACTTTACGGAAACTCGCATCGCCAGTACACTCTACTACGTATGTGTACATTGCGCATAACAGAGCTTCAGGTGCATCTCATCAATCACGATGGCAAGTATCGTTTGTTTATGCAACGACTTGGAAACCTATACCGTCCATCTTCCGTCGTCACTGTTAGTTGCAGTGGATGCTCCTTAGGCGTCGGTCATGGAGAGGCGCCAAAAGCACGAAGCCACGATATACCACCCTCACCGTACGGTTAATATCCTGTTACGGAGCGAAATTGAATAACAAACGAAGTATATGGTATATATTACGTATCAGAGCGGGAAATTCAAATAGTCATGATGAACGAAAGGCATTATCCGTTCCCCAAGGAAATCCGAGTTCACGAGCTGTGCGCTTAGAAATATATCCTGGACCGAACTGTCGCATCAAATTTTATCTCTTCGCGCCATATATAACTCGGAGCGTATGTGTGACCCACGTATACGCGCGATGGCTGCCGACCAAAGTCCAACAGCCGAAAGCGTTCCAGTTTCCAGTACTAGGGAGAAGGAAATTGGGGCGCCTGGTCGATCTGGAATTGGGCTATACTGGGTGACGGGGGGTGGTGACGATCGGGACTGGGGAGGACTGGGACGATGTTGATGCTGAAGTAGACGCGGAGAAGGGAACGGCGGTGGTTCAAGCATAGGAGGTCGACCGTGCCAGGCTGGGTCTGCTGCGGATCGAGGTCGATCGATGCAGCTGGAGAGTCGCACCGGATAAATGGGTCAGGTACACGGAGCCATGTTTCTGCCCCCTCTACACCATCCCTTATCCTATCGCGGGCTCTATCCCCTTATATACCCTACGGCCCTGCCAACCCCCTTCGTTTCTCTTCAGTCACGCTACCCCAAAGCTACTTGTTGAGGGCACTCCCTCTGGCTCGACCTCAGAGAATACTTTTTTTTTTTTTATTTTCAACCACCTTTTCAGGGTATTTCTCTTTTATTTTTTCTCTCGCAGCTCTTCCCAACTGCCGAGAGTCGGTTGTTACTTTGCCGAGGGTTGAATTACTTTATCGCTAAATATATCAACATTTTTATTCACTTCAGGGTGAGGAGACGCGAGACGACGATGAAACTGACAGAGGATCAAGGGGTGGTAATTTTTTTTTTTTTTTAATAATTGTTACGGCAATAGAAAAAGTCTTTGATCGCGGAGAATTGCTTTTTACGAAAGAATATTTTAGACGCGTTTCGTTGCATTTTGTGCACGGTACTCGTAGTTCTGTTGTACACGAATGGTAGATTAAGCATTTATGTCGTGCAGGGGGAATTTTCAAATTGGTATAATTAACAGTTCGAAATTATTATTTTTTTTTTTTTCACTGAAAAAACATCGTGTCCTCTCCGAACGCAACAGTGAGGATGTTCACCCAGTTTCCGGCAGTATCCAACAATATTCCACTGAATTCCACGGAACCTAGTGAATCCAGGGTGCCACCGGGTGAAATGAGGTCGCTCGATGGAGGCCGCGACCCATTTCCCGCAGGATCTAGGCGAAGGCAGGACGCTGTTATACGCGTGTCCGTAACCCCGTGACAACGTGAACTTTGTTATATAGGTCAGGTCGCGAACCAGCCCGGATAACCCGGATCTGCAAACGACTCCTAGGAATTGGAAAATATCTCAAGATTTATACCACAGACCCAAGCACATAATATACCCATATACGACACATAACCTAGAAAATTGCGCCTTCTTTTGCACGATATAAAATATCACTGAAAACCATTGGAAAACATTTTTTTTTAATTTGAATTTTTAACTTCCCGCCAAATCCTATACGACTATCTCGAAATGCTCCTAGTGAAACAATATGTCATAATGACGTAACGTACAAGACATCCTACAAGAAGGGATGGGTGGGTGATTTATCAACGGACTTGTAATTCCAAACGGTCTGGCTTTGATGACCTTCCTTTTCTCTTCCTACTTTTCGCTTCGGGACTAAAGAGCGTAAATTGCATTTACTCGAATT